CGATGCTACTCTCGGAACCAATGTCTTTGTGCGATAGCATCGTCCTCGGAGAGAGCGGCACACATAGTTTTATAGCCACGGAGGATGCCTGCGACAGACGGGTAAATCGTTAGGCCTCAAAAAAAACGGAAACCGCTTCACCGCAAGCTGTTGCTGCCCAGAAGGAGCGAACCCTTGCCCGACACCTTTCACCGACACCGACACCTTTTAGGCACTGTTCAGCAGTCAAGACTCGTCCATAACAAGCTGAAAATGCGGCCAGCTGCCGCGGAGCGTACGGTCAAGGAACACCGGATCTCCCCATCGAACGGAATGTCGGAACCGGCGGATATCGTGTGCTCAGCACGACCCAGAAAATTTGAGCACTGCAAAGTCTCGCAAGGGAGCGAGCCGTCTGAAACGGCCGACACCACGGATGTGTCCACAAGCCAAGAACAACATGATATGTCAAGAGTTGTGGGACTGCTATCAACAGACAAACAGACCGTTCGACAAAGCATACACAGTTCTAGAACTACAAAAGGTCGAGAAACAAAAGTAATACTGCCAGGTCTAAAGTGCGGAAGAGCGACTAAGGGAGAGTCGGAGAAGCCGGATTCGGCGTGCGTCAAAGAATCGCCAACTTCAAGCTTTTGTCACACCGAATTCGAAGGCAGTTGTCGGTCAGAAGGGACTTTGAAAGGCACACAAGCGGAGGTCTGCAAGGCTTTTAAAGCTGGGGTAACGGACGGTCCTTCACTTCCGAAAAGCAGAGGGGGCGCAGCATTTCCGGAGTTTACGCACAATCCGAACGCAAAGTCAATTGCCACAGTCCAAGCTGAGCAGAAAAAGTCGAAAATGCTAAAGAGAAAAGAGCTACCGTCCGAGGACTCCCAAGCAGATCTTCCAAGCACCGAACACCCAGCTCCTCCAAGGTGGTGAAAGGTGAAATGGAAAGACGTCACCAGGCGAAAGACAAAATGTGCACTCGGAGCTGGCGTGGCAGACGTCCACGACGACCGGGAAAGTCCGTGGGAGGAGTCTGGGCGGGACGACTTCTTGAGTGACGAGGGTCCAGAGGGAAACATCCTGGGCGAGAGATCAACAGGCCTGTCCAGCGGCTCTTCTTTCATGATGCAGCATCAACACCAGCGCCGGCCCGGCAGGATGTTGAGAAATAGAGGACGAGGAAGAGCGCGCGGACAATTGAAGAGCACGTGGGGCTTAGGCACCCGCAATATCAGTGTTCCATAAACGGCCATCCGAACAGGACACGTCTCGGGTCCCTTCCTCCACACCTGCATAGACAGATTTATGCATTGGCCAGAAGCAGGGGCATAGCCAGGGGAAGGGGCTTCAGCTCCCCCCCCCCCCCCCCCTTGCGAAATCCAGCCGACCCTATAATATACTCGTGCATCTTGACCCCCCATCCCTCTTTATCTGAACCCCAAGTAATGGACATGCCAGCCACCTCAGTACCTCCCGAAAAAAATTCATGGCTACGCCACTGGCCAGAAGCCTTCCCGATTTCCAACATCACAGCTGGTACCATCGGACAAGTATTCGTGAGTGGATGGGTGGCAAGATTTGGTGTACCATCCAACATAACAACAGATGGGGGACGGCAGTTTGAATCTTTATTTTATTACCTTGCACAACTTCTCGGTGCACAACGGATACACACAACATCATACCATCCCATCGCCAACGGCATGGTTGAAAGATACCATTGATCGCTCAAGTCGGCACTCAAGGCGCAGGGGGATCCAACACACTTGGCCAGACAGCTGCCTCTCGTTCTCCGTGGACTTCATCTGCGTTCAAAGATGATCTCAAGTGCATCCCAGCAGAGCTCGTGTATGGCACTACTCTTCGCCTTCCCGGTGACCTTTTTTACCCCGAACAACTGTAAAGTCAAGCCTGGCCCCGGAATGTTCTCTAGCGAACTAAAAGCTGCTATGAGACAAGTTCAGGCAGTGCAACCCAAACACTAACAAGGGGTGTCGATATATATGCCACAAGATCTCCGAACATCCACGCATGTTTTTGTCTGACGAGGTGCAGTTCGAAAGCCGTTGCTACTGCCATATGATGGACCCTTTCAAGTCGTGGAACGATGAGACAAGCATTTTGTCCTGGACTTAGGTGGTCGAACAGAAACAGTATCTGTTCGCCCACTTAAACCCGCCCACTTGGCAACGGTCACCATGAGTCACACATTTCGTCATATTTCTGCTTGCCAACCGTCTGCATTTCCTTGGCCACACACTATACACAAGCTCCGCCGTCGTCACGTCACATGGGCTACGCCTCTCTGCCACCTACTTTCCTGTGAGGGGTGCAGCTGAAGGGGACTATAATAGGTGACGACGATGGAACCAGAAGAAAACAGGAGCGTGAGACTCACGAGAACTCACATGGACATTCCGCTCCACATATCATTCGGAACCACTTCATTATTTTATAAGCATTAAACAAGTCAAACACTCATCTACACTATAGAAGTTCATAGAAGTCAGAGCGCTAAATTATTATTCATGCCATTGAGTGGCAAAGTTAGGCTGCCTAGAGTTTGGCCGTGCTGAATCTCGAGGAAAGATTGGCTAAAGGCTGAGCGGCCAACGAAACAACGTAGTGTAGTGGGCCATTTCTGTAACCACGTGACCCTTGGATAATGCAACGTTGTCAGATCAGCTTCCAATAACCGGCTACTTGTGCCCACTGTGCAGGTGGAATTTGCTTCTGGGGTGACTTCCTTTTCTTTTTTCGGCTTTGATTTTAATATCTGTCCCCTCGTGGCTGAAATTCGCCAGAGAAAAACCACAAAGCAGAATTTGGTTGTCTGAATTTTAACAACAGCGATGGCATACTTTTACGAAGAGGTAAACTTAAATGTATTTCAAAAATTGTTTAGTGGATTTTAAGTTGTTAATTCGCTAATTGTCATTTTACACTCGTAACCAGACGTCTGCCGCAGTCGCTTATGTTATCCTGAAGGCAGCAGATTTTTGTTTGAAGTGCTCTTAGTGGTTGGTGAAACCCCCTTTTGAATTGCAGACAGCTTTTTTTATTATCGGTAGCCCTATCAGGATGCCAACCATTCATGTTACTCTATCAGTTTCTGATTGTGAAATAACTACCGTATTTTCCGGTGTATAAGACGCACCTGTATATAAAACGCTCCGCCGAAATTTTTGGAAAATATGCGTGTCTTATACACCGGAGAATACTACTTGGAAGGCAAATAGGAGATGCAAATAGAACCCCTTAGAAAATTACGTAAAAAAAAAAGCTTAAGCACCTTTTTTTTCTCTTTAATATATGGAAAACATTGGAGATGTTTGCTTGTGATGCCAAACATTGACTTATTTACTCAATTTTATTCTTTATACAATACTGTCCTTTTCTTTTTTGCAACCCATTTGTGCACCATGGAAATATCAGTGGAATAGAACTCTGCTTTATATTCATAAAAAAGCACAACCTTACTGAAAGAATCCTGATTGCATGCAATTGGCATGGTGTTCATTAACAGTCTCATCTTGCAACATGAGGCAAACTAGTCCACAGTGGTTCTGAAATCATTTTTAACTATAACATATTTACTTCATATGAGAGGCAAAGTTACAGACTTGGAAGCATTTTCTATGGTATGTGTAAGTTTCCCATAACTGAATAAAAAATAAAGGTTTGTATAAAATATGATTGATATAATTGACAATTGTAGAATTCAAAGAGGCCTTGAAATCAGTTTCTCAAAACTCCTATCAGTTTGCAGTTAAATACTCCTTTAGAGGCAACTCTAGCTGATTAGGAGGTGCAGTCTCATTTCGTATCACAAAAAGATTTAAATGTAAAAAGGAACTGCTTTTTTTTAAGAGCAATGGGAAATCATACCTACTGTAGTAATTAATTAAGCATTTTTGGTATGTGAACATTGCACATACAAAAAACATGTATGGCAAATTGCTAGGCAATTCTGTTGGATATGTGAAACGTTCTAGCATTACAGACATTTAGCGAGAGCTGCAGCTTGTGGTTGCACCGATATGCAATTGGTGTCACGTAATGCCAATTTCCCACTAAATTGACATTACGGGGAAATTGAATTGGCGTCGAGGTTAGTGACACTAATTTTCCTGCTAAATCTAGCTGGGAAACTGAATTCGTGTATAGGTCACGTGACATGACGTCATGGTGACATCATCTTCTTTGCTAAATTTAGATGGGAAATTGAATTGGCATTGAGGTCACATGATGTCAATTTTCCCATTAAATCTAGCGGGGAAGCTGAATTTATGTGTAGGTCACGTGACGTCAATTTTTCCGCAAAATTTAGCGGGGAAACTGAATTTGTGTTGAGGTCACGTGACGTCACTTTTCCCGCTAAATTAGCAGGGAAACTAATTTTGTGTTGATATCACGTTACACCAAGTCACTTAAGGTCATTTTTCTCACTAAATTTAGCGAAGAAACTGAGTTGGTGTTGCGGTCACGTGACTTCAATTTTCCCCCTAAATCTAGCAGGAGAACTTAATACGGCTTAATTAATCCCTCTTCACGAAATTAAGAGCACCTATATCCATGTGACATTATTTTCCCCGCTAAATTTAGCAGGGAAATTTAGTTGGCGTTGAGGTCATCTGACGTCAATATTTCAGCTAAATTTAGCAGGGAAACTGAATTTGTGTAGAGGTCACGTGACACAAAGTTGTGTGACATAATTTTTCTGCTAAATTTGGCAGGGAAACTGAATTGGTGTTGAGGTCACGTGGCTTCAATTTTCCCGCTAAATCTAGCTGGGAAACTGAATTTGTGTAGAGGTCATGTGGTACGAAGTCGTGACGTCCTTCTTTCTGCTAAATTTTACGGGGGAACTGAATTGGTGTTGAGGTCACGTGACGCCTATTTTCTCGCTAAGCGGAGAAGCTTGCTCTGGTTTCACTTAATCCAGCTTCACAAAATCCGGAACAACTAGCCGAAGAATGTTTCACAGTAAAAGAAGTGACTTCTTTGTGCAGGAGAATCTGTTGTCCAGCAGATTATGCCACATGTGCTTCAGGCAGATCTCAACCTCTCAAGAAACTGCACATCAGCAGTGCACTTCATGGCTTGGGTAAGCTCCCAGAATTTGTTCTGCACGAATGGCACTTTTTTTATTGCAAAAGCATTGGAGCAAACCAACGTCATCAGCTTTGAAGCCGTGCCAAATGGCACCTAAAGTCCCCTGTCCCAATGGAGTGAAGTGAAGCCGCAATCTGATGGATAGGCTCCCATTGGCTGGCGCGCATCCTAGTTTCAAGAAACGAGGCTCCCATTGGCTCTCGTGCGGTGTAGTTCCAAAAAACGCCACCAGAGAAGCCCTCTCCATGGTTGCGCAGAGTACGCAGCGGCTCGGCCGCCAGTAAGAGGTGCGGGCCTGGCTGCACAGCCTGCTCGAGCAAACTTCAAAGAGGCTGCACGGCCAAGCTCAGTGCAGCGCAACCACTTCACGAGAGCGTGCCCTCGGCCGTCGGCCGCTACCTCGGCATTAGCGAAACGTGGCCGTCCACGCCACTACACCGCAGACGAACTAAGGGAGCGGAAGAATGACATTCATGCTTTCGCATCCAGAACTCGTAAGAACTGCTTAGGTGTCCTCGGACTTTTTACTTCAGCTTTCAGCATTTATTGTAAGCTACTGGTGCTTCTGTTAGGAAAGAGACAAAGCCATAAGATTGAAGTAGTAGTAACCATTGCATGAAAATAAAGTTTGGTTCGATGCATTCTGCCATTTGACTCGTTTATCGTAAAACTGCGACAAACTGCCGAAGCATTGGTTGACCCTGGCCAGGAGCCTGAATGTCAGGATTCCCAACTAAATACTGATGTATTGCTTGTGTTCCATTTTTATGCTGTTTACTGCCTGTCATGGCCAATGGTGTGCATTTTAACCCCCCAGTACTAGTACCATTGGGCAGCTAACTGTAAAATAATGCATCTAGCAGCTATTTCTCCAGCGTTTATCACAAAATATTATAAACTCATTCTCGTAGTAAATGAAAACATTTTGCAGGCATTGGGGGAAGTGGCATCGGCATCATCAGTCTGCTCCTTGGAAGATGCACAGCAACGATTAATGTTGCTTTTGGAGCAGCATAGTCAGCACAAGCAGCTTTCGTTGCACATCCTCTGCTCCCTCTTCAAGCTGACAATGCTTTCTAAGCAGCCACTTAAGGACGACCAACAGCTTTTGTCGCAGCTATTCGACAGGGCCCCAAATCTGCTCATCAAACAGGTATTTTTAGGCTAGAAGTTTCTGTCGTCTTCGTACAGGGTGGTTAAAAATCAAACTTTTTTTAGTGCTAAGTTTAATGCTGTAGTTTATTATTAGGAATTAGGTAATCACTGACCCAAGCTAAAAAGAAAGCTTTCTCCAAACTTCGTTAACATAAATTAAAGAATACACAGGTTTCTGATTGAGGGATAGGCATTGTCACATCTCAGGGTTCAAGTGTCCTTTGATACATACTAGTTTACTCTCGCATCATGGTGCATCCTGGATATATTGTTAGCCTTGCACCTTATCCGTGGATTTCCGAAATACAAATTTTAAACCGCAGCTGCAACGTAGGTGTAGAGAGAGGTAGTGTTATTGAAATTGTAAATGTAATGCTCAAAATCGTTTCAGAGGTTGCGGGAGCTTTTGAATTTGAACAAAGTACTTTCGACGGGACAGTGCAATGTTCCTGCAATGTCCGACTTCAGAGAAGATGAAATCAAGGTGAAGCATTTTCGCAGTTTACTTCAAATATGATTTAATAGTTTTTTTTGTTTTTTTGGCTTCATTGTTGTGTGGCCAAGGTAAACTGAAGTGGTGTTGGAGAAAGTTGGAGTGTATTAGGAGTGGCAGAAGTTAATTGTCTGTCCATACAGCAAAATGTATTTAATTAGAAGCCTTATTGGAAGTGTGCAACGAGACAGTGGCACCATGGTGCGGCAGCATTTCGCATAGAACATGACTGCGTTTATTATGGGAAACCCTAACCTGCGGAAAGAGTGTGTATAACCAATATGGGAAGCGCTGAAAAGCTTTTACGCGTCTGCATACTTTCCATCCTTCTTTCATTGTATCTTGCCTCCATCTCATAATTTTTGTCGTAAAATAAGGCCTCAGTGCTTGACCTTATCTTTCTTTTTTTTAACTGCATTTGTTAAAAGGCAAATTCACATGAACTTTAGAAAACCTATTTTGAAAAATTGCAAATGGTGTCAATGCTTGTCTAGATCAAAGAAGTCAACCGTTAAGCTTGGGTAGCTTTATTTGTCTGCATAATTGGCACTAAATTTTTCTAGAACTTGATTGCAGTGCGAGCTCTGTTATGTCCGTCATTCCCTTTCTTTAACTTGGAGGTAATAAATAATCATTTCTGTGTTTTTTTGTTGCAGGTGGACACAACATTGTCATTCTTGGATGACTATGTTTGTAAAGCCCTCGAGAATGGCGCAGTGCCGTACAGGTCAAGAGCACTTCCATTGGTGTCATTCGAAGGTGAGGGAGCTACCTGGTATTTTCTCAGGGACTTTTTATAACAGTATGGAATACTCATTTGTTTAGTCTTCCTTTAAAAGGCTCATAAAATTAAATTTGACTTACCATTTGCCAGGAATGCTGGGTGCTGGGGCCTTTTTCAGTGTTGTGTGCAAACACCAAAATATTTTGTATTGTGCTCAGTAAAATAACTCGCAACAAATGCAGTTGGCCTCAGTGGCTCTGACATGAAGCACCAGTCTACGGATCCCTGGTGGCGGGTTTGAATCCTGGCCAAGGTTCTCACAATCTGAGGGAATAAGCTCATTGCAAAGTGCCATGTAACCGAGATTTTGGTTGCATGTCAAAAGGTTCTCAGGTGGTCTATATTAATCCTCAGTCCTTCTCTGGAGCGTGCCAATTGTGCTTCGTTGTTTTGGCACATAAGACTCCAACATTTGACTTGACAACACATATGTCCATGGCATCTTTACTATATCTTAGCATTCAGTCTAAAATGTTGAGTTGCATTTCATAACTATTCTTGTCGTCAAGGGGCCCATGAAGTTCTACACTACAAGATGGCAGAACCCACAAGTCTGGTGTATAAAAAATGTATAAAATAAGCATGCAAATATTCATAACATTGGAGTGAATGTTGATTGTGTGGTGGCATTTGACAAAGAAGCAAGGGAGTCCTGATGCTCTAAGTATAGTTTTCGAGTAAAAAGAGTGTGCATATTAATGTGACAATGTCACCATGTTAATCAGTTGCTCTTCTTCTATTTCTCAGATATACCAACGTCATCTTCCCAGGCAGTCTTCTCAGAAGTGGGAACCTGTTCTTCTCGGCATTCAACAGCCGATACTGACGTTTTGTCTCCCGAATATTATTCCTTTGCTTCGGAAGTTGTGTCAGATCAAAGGTGGGAACCTGAAAGCAATATTCCTTGATATTCGACATTGTATTCTATGTAGAATAAATGGGCGTTCAATTTATATCTCTGATGTTGAGCTACTTAAGGCAGTACCCCTATTTTAGTTGGTGGCACGTTGTAGTTAAAGGTTTTGATTTATTTGCAGTCCAGCATTCTTCAAAAAGGTATAAAAGCGTACATTTGAATTTGGCTACAGTTAGCACTTTTGCTGTTATGCCTTATTTTGATATACAGGGTGTCACAAAAGAAAATTTACACGGTCTTTTTTACCGCAAAAATAAACTAGGCATCGCCGAACTCTCATTCTCTGCCCAAAGGCAGAGCTAGAGGTCACAACCAGATGCCTAAGTTTCAGCCCGATCCGATAACTTAATCAAGAGTAATAAGTGATTTTCTGAAAATTTCATTGGGAATTAAAATGGCGGCCGACGGAGTTTTCAAACACATGGGGCTCTATGGCACCAGAAACCGAAAACGGGCAAAAATGGGCTCCATTTTCCCAGTGAAATTTTCAGAAAATATAACTTTTGATTAAGTTGTCGGATCGGGCTGAAACTTTGGCATCTGGTTGTGACCTCTAGCTCTACCTTTGGGCGGAGAATGAGCATTCGGCGATGCCTAGTTTATTTTTGGAGTGAAAAAGACCGTGTAAATTTTCTTTTGTGACACCCTGTACATTACTGAAAGGCTACATGAAGTGCTCATATTTTAATTTTTGTCAATATTCATTTTCATTCTTACTGAACTTTCATGCTTCGACACCATACTCATTTGTCGTTTAGTCATCATTTTTAACACATTGTGGTTATACAAAATGTAGAACAACAGTAGAAAAAATGTTTAACAATAATACCTTTTTGCTTGCCTCATGCTCTATAGAAATTTGCGATATGTTACAAAAAAGTTTTAGTATTAGTACAGTGTAGCCCATAAAGAAAGGTGTAATCACACTGACTATTAAAATATGACGACCAACCAATCCCTAAATCAGGGGCCCAACGTTTCGAAACCGGTTCGGCGCTGCTTCTTCAGGGGCGACTATGGAGGAAAGGAGCAGCAATCTTTTTCTTCTATGACGGAGGCGAATGTGCACGATTTATCTTCTTCCTCTTTGATCGTTTTTTGAAGACACATGGTGGAGTCCGTTCACATACACAGATGGCAGTGTGCCAAGAGACCTATTAATGTCGTCAAATCCGAAGTCGACAACACCGCCAGTCGCAGGTTGATACGAAATGCCGGCCAACCATGCGCATCAGCGTCCCATACATCAAGGGAACAAGTGAAGCGCTGGCACGGGTGCTAGCAAAGAAGGGCATTCAGATGGCCCACAGGCCAATTTCAACCCTTGGATGCTTTATGACACGACCAAAAGATTGCCCCCTAAAGAGAAAAGCATAAGGTGTGGTGTACGAGATTCCCTCGCGGAGTGCCCGTCCTCGTACATCGGGGAAACAAACAACTATCATGAACGGATTCGTCAACACAAGGCTGATGTGCGCAACTTCGATCAAGAGCGCAGCGCAGTTGCTGAACTCTGTGAAAAAAATGACCACCGCATTGACTTTCTGAACATTCATATCCTGGACATCGAAACTAAAGGCCCGTTCACACTCTTGCGACTGCTTGCGACCTCTTAAACCTGGGTTCCTTAAAACTTCTTAAACCAGAGAACACACTGGCGCCATCTATTGGGAAGCAGTGTAAACTCGGCGGTCCGGCATATTTTTTTTTTATTTCTCGCGCAATATCTTTTTTTTTTTGGCTCGAAAAACTTTTGTCAATGTTATAAACGAGCCTTTCTATGGGTATTACGCACATTTGACCTCGAAAATCCCGCAAAACCTTCGCTTTTGTGAAATGCAGTTCTAGGGTCACCGCATAGATGGCGCCACAATGTCAGTGTGTTCCCTCATTCTAGAAACATTTAAGAAGTTGTAAGAGATCTCGTCTCTCTCAGTCGTACTCGGTCGCAAGAGTGTGAACGGGCCTTAATCCTCGCCGAAGGCTCTTCCTTGAATCTGGGCACATTCAGACCACACCAACAAACATTAATAGGTCTCTTGGCGCACTGCCATCTGTGTATGTGAATGGCTCCACCATGTGTCTTCAAAAAACGATCAAGGAGGAAGAAGATGGGATCGTGCACATTCGCCTCCATCATAGAAAAAAAAGAAGATTGCGTCTCCTTTCCTCCATAGTTGCCCCTGAAGAAGAAGCCGAACCGGTTTCGAAATGTTGGGCCCCTGATTTAGGGATTGGTGGGTCGTCATATTGTCACGAATGACAAGTAATGAGGCGATAATAACTGAAAAAACTAAACGTTTAATGGAAGAACTTGGGCCTAGAAATAAAAAAGGGAACAGAATAAAGCAGAGCGTCGCGGGCGTCGAAGTCGGCGTGACAGCAGAGTCGGAACGCTGGGGCGAAACTGACCCCGGCTTGCCACGCGGAGCTTCTTTTGTACACGCGTGGGCTTCTGGAACAATCGGCGTAGAAGGTTCGGCGTGGTTAACTTTCTAACCTCGAATCAGCATCACGGTTTTCGAATTTACCAGAACATTACGTTAGAAACAACAAAAATGCGTCTTCGTAGCCGGGAATCGAACCCTGGCTTTCTGCGCGGAAGGCACGCGCAATAACCGTTTGGCCACGAGCGCGCTGCCTGCTTGGCTACCTGGGCGCGCGGCTATATTTTAATAATTATTTCTCCAACCAGACAGACTTCTGTCTAGTGTTTACTTTTAAACCACAATGACTCATTGGCCTCCAATGCCAACTATGTTCCCCTTCTAAAGGTATATGTGGAGCTCCTTGAATAGTCTGCTGTTGTCGTTCCGTCTCATTCTTTCCACATTGACACCATTGATAATGTTTCTTGTGTTGGAGACAAAATGTTTGATTAAATTGATATTTTTGTTAAGCCAAGTCATTGGAGTTTGTTTTATAATTCATTCGGTTTCAAGAAAAAAAAATTGAAGGACATTATGGAAAATGTGCTACTCTATATTGTGTTTTACAACCCCTATTCAGCTTCTAAACTTTGAGAAATGAATTGTGATCCCTTGTTTTGTATTTACTGGGACTGCCAGATTTTGCTGACTGCTGTCCTGAAAGAGTATTGGTGGTTTACTTTTATGGTTACATTTCATGCAACAGTGCTGAGCAGGTGCAAATAGCCATGTGCACCACAGTTCTTCATCTGCATATAATTCTGTTGCTGTTCCAGTCCTGTAAAACAACAGCCATGGTCTGCACTTGGCAGGAAAAAAGAAGTAAAGGATGTGCATGCAGAATTGCCGAGCACAGCTCCAGAAAACACTTCTAAGGTATGCCTCTTCAAAAACAAGTGCTACCCTGTGGTGTAGCCATGAATTTGTTTCGGGGGGAAGGAGGGCAGAAACCTTCTTGACCTAGGGAGCGATTGATGTGGGGGGGGTTATCACACATGTGCTTATTATATGGGGGGACAACTTTTCTTGGCAATGCAGTAGAAGGTACAGGTACACATTCCCCCCAAGCATCACGGATTTTGGCCAAGCAATGGCCAATGGCTGGGGATGGTATTGTGGCCAATGGCCAAACAGGGGCCATTCATAGGCCAAAGTTAGGCTGATGGTAAGTGGCCATTGGCCAACGGCCAGAGAAAGGCCAGTCATCGGTCAATGGCTGGCCGTTGCCTGGCCACGGGCCAAAGGACCATTGCCAGTCATCGGCCAATGTTTGGCCAACTCTGTGCTGCTTGGGCCTTTTGCATTTAGAGCTCGATTAAAGCTGTGCACGGGCTCTTCTCCTCTCCCCAGAAATGCCAAGAAAAGTTGTCCCCGAGTATAAAGGTTGACTGCATTTCCAACAGGAGCATCAGCCCCATAAGGCCTCCCCCCCACTCTCCCTCCCCCTTTTTCCTGGCTACACTACTGATGTAAACTACTATACTTGTGGACAACTTCCAATGCCATTTCAGAAGTGAAGAGAGCTCATGCACAGCTTTAATAGGCGTTCAAGATGAGCAAGCGCACTTGGGGCCATGGTTTTGTCTGCATAGCTGTTGAAAGTTGTCTGTGAGCATAGTAATCTGGACTGTGTCTGACTAGCAACTTTCTAAGACGTCGCTTGTCGAGCTCATAATAAGAGGACCATGAGACAAAAGCCGACATTGGAGATGTGACTTTTTGCTGATGTGATTATGTTATAACTAGGGTCACCATTTGGACTTTCTGGTTACACTTCCAGCTTCATGATTTATTTATTTTGCTGCTTCTGAGGATTTATTGCGCCATTGCAGCAAATCTTCCGCTCCAACTCCCAGAAGCCTGACTTAACAAGGGTTACCTAGGTTGATCATTGCAAAGAGATCGTTCTCCTTCATAATACATCTAGTGGTACCGGATGTATCACGTGCATATGGCTACCATTAGTTTGTATTGAAAATACAACAGTAGCTCACGGGAAAAGACAAATATGAGCCTCATTTCCAGTTTGAGTTTGTTCTTCCATATGCAAATAAAAATCTGTGCTACCTGTTTCATGCTGTATGACCATGAAGGATTTATTTAGCTGAGCACTTTTCAGTCAAAGTATGAACATAATTTTATAATCCCTTTAAATGCCAACTGTTGTCATTGGTTATTGCTTTACTCTGTTTATAATGCTACTTTATGAAGGTGTGTGATCTTTGTCCAGCATGAGTGTATAATTTTCTTGTTAGGAAGCAATTTGTGACTTGCATTTGCTTTTTTTATGACCAAGAAGAAAATGAATTATGATGGCTTTAATTTAGAGTCACCTCTAAGAATAATGATCCTCATAGTGTAACAAGAAACAAAGAATGTAAGAACAGGACGAGCGGGTTGGTATAGGATAATTAAACTTGAGGAAGAAAAAGAGAAAGGACGGACAACCTTTTCGGTTGCCCGTCCTTTCTTGTTTTCTTCCTCAAGTTTAATTAAACAAAGAATGTTTGCTACTTTTACAGATTACGAGATATGCACATAAACCCTCAGTACTTATTATGTTTATGGTATACATTGGTACCCCTATAAAACCACGAGAAAGGTATGGTTTGATTGTATAGAAAAGGGAATATTATTGTTATCAGTTCAATTATGGAGTAACAAAGAAGAAAAATTCAGTTAGTGAGATAGCCATTACCCAAAATATTTTGGACAAAACATTGTATGTTTTTTTGACGAAAATAATATCTGGAGAAGGGGAACAAGAGGGACCAAGGGAAAACACAAATCTCCAAACACAGCTAGGTGACTGGTGCGCGACCGATAAAAGCCACCTGGTCCGGGTATCGAACCCGGGACCTCTTTATTTCCAGTGAGCTAACCAGGGTTTAGACGTCAGTAGAGCAGACAGGGTTTATCAGCTGCCACCAGTCTGACACCAAAAAGGGTGAAAGGCTTGCATTTTAAGGTTATGATTATAAGGCAATTAAATGCAAAGGTGCAAATAAGCTGGAACAGAATGACAAATTATTTTCGTCATTCTTGCCAAGCTCGCTTGCACCTTTGCATTTAATTGCATTATAATTTTTCCTTGTTCTATCTGGAAAGTGAAGTAGCACAACAAGCACATCTATTTTTAGGACAAGCATACTACCTGAGGCGACCACCTAGTGATATATTTAGTATGTTAGCTCTCAAATAGCATGTGTTGATGTACCTGATTCTTTCAAGTTTTTCTGACATTTTGTGTGCACCTTTGGTTCATCTCATCTTTCAGAACCCCAAAGCAGAGGATGCAGAATTGATGAGGTCTTTATTCACCTCCACTCAGTCAGTAATGGTAAGGAGATAATGTTTTTCCACTTTGTGCACTTGGTTATTTATTTTTTATTTTCAGGATGATCATGTATCACCAGCTCACCTGTGTTATGACTTCCTTGCATCGTGTGATAAAGGCATTTGTTTTTATGACCAAAGAAACCTAATCTTGTTTCAAGTCCTCTATAAAATTAACACTTAACCATAATGGGAACTCAAATAGCTTTTCTTCGATAGGTGTCTAAAAGTGAGCTTTGAGATAGACCAGCAGTAGTTTTGACAATATCACTCTTGCAGAAGAGGTATGAAATAAAAATCCTGCAAGTATAAGTCTTCTTAAGCAGCTTACATATGAATGAAGGAGGGGGGGGGGGGGGTTACATGTTTCTAAGTTTTGTGTTGTGGTGCGAGCAAGGAAATCCCAGCTTGCTTATTGATGGAGGATCATGAAAGTTGTGTGTTAAAATTTTAATCTTATCTATAGTTTACTTGTAAGTGCAGCCAAAGCTGCAAGCATGAGCATGCTGCAGCTTTGGACTATGGACTATAGTTGCCATTGGCTAGTTGACTAGTTCTGATAATATTTTTTTTCTTGTTTTGTTTAAGGTTTTACCTTTATCTGCACGTTTCACAAGCTCCCAAAGAAAAACAGATTAGCTGCATGGCAGATGTTACTTTTCAATATAAAACATGTATGAATTCAGGGGAAGAAGTGAAAGAGGTTGGGAAGGAAAAGATTGCTGCTACAGTTGACACAAACCCTTCCTTTTTTGCATGGTTGGCCTGCCGGGAGGAGCCAAACTAAAACAGCAGCTTTTGGGATTTTAATATATGAGGAATATCTTTCTGGCTTTTACAGGTACCTCCCCACAGTGCAGGTACTCATTGTGAGGGAGACTAAAAGAGGCTGCAAACATTTCTATCATCATGTAAGGCCGAGAGCGAACATTCTGATGCAAGAAACATTCAAAGGATTGAAGTGAACAGATCTCTTAGGCACTGTAATAACATAGCGCACAATAACAAAAAAAAAAGTTTTTATTCTTTGAATAAAATAATAATCGACAGTGACTGTCCATAACTGTTGTAGAAATAGGTCATAATTCCATAAATAAGTGACAAAAAAGAGCTAACAAATCTCTAAACTTGGCTCTGCCTAATCCTGACCAGATGTTTTTTTTTCCTTTTTGCTGTTTTGAGTTTTATTGATTAAGTTCGCGTGTTTCCTTGTTCACGAATCACGATGCTCTTGAGGTTTCTTATACGGTGGGTAATTTTATTACGCCATCAATATCTTGTGCGACATAAAGAAGTTGAACCAAAGTAAATGACTGATATCGATTCACGTAAACTAAATACAAGCGCTGCCAAAATATTACCCTAATGGGAAATTGCTATCCACCTTAAAACCGATATTTAAAAATGCTGCCATCAGCAGCTCAGCGGGTTGGCTGTTAGTCGAGCAACCATGTGCCCTGATGTCATCTCTGCCACCTTTTTCGCCTTGTTTTTCTGCCTCGTTTTCAGCCGTTCCAGCGTACAATTTCAGCTTGTCATGTCTTAACGGCCGTAGTTTGTAAGTGCTCCTCGACGATCGCGCACAAAGATTATTGACTTTCTGCTCGTTCAAGCCCGTGGTGGTGTTGAAGCTGTCATTCACTGGTGGCCACACTTTAGTCTGTCCCTGCTCAGCGCGAGCTTACGTAGACAGCATTTTCCCCTCCGCTAAGCCCTCTGCAGCGAAGCAGCCGCTACTGCGCCGGCGCGCCGATGACCTTGACTGTAGAGTTCCGGCTAGCGTAGCTGGTTGCGGAGAGCGATGCGGGACAGCGGAAACGATCTACGAAAACTCCCTATTACCTTCTACAACGCTTCTGCAACGTGCATTGCACAAAACCAAGATTGTAGTTCTCAAAACGACATTGGTGGTCGCAGGCGGGAAGAGCGGACTCGCTCTTCCCGCCTGCCACCACACTCACTTTGTTGTCTGCTAGGCGTAGAGCAGACGGCGCCACAGCGCTTGCCAATTTTCGCTGAACACGGTTTCGCAGGCGCCTCTTAGGCACAGATCGACTATTAGCCGTCTTTGCTTGTCTGATATCCTCGCCATAGAGATCTGCATTCTAGACAGGTGGTGCTTATTGGAGCAGATTGCTGAATCGTTGTGACATAAAGCTTATACATTTTTTTTTAGGAACAGTTTTTTTTTAATCTTTTTTATAGTACACTCTAGCTTTAACAGTATACGCGTTCGCGAGCCAGTATGAGTGCAGCAAGTGTGGTACAGAGAAAGACCGATGACTGCAAGTTTGTGCGAGAGAAAAAAAGTAATCTGCCGTGATATATAGAATTAGTGGCGTTGATTATCCTCAGCCCGTCAGACGTATATCCGTGAGCCAGAGAATCAACCACCGCGTAAGAGGCGCCCAGAAGACCGTGGGCGCCTTTTACGTGGTGGTTCGCTGAACATCACACCTTGTTCAGCGAACATTGGCAAGCGCTGTGGCGTTGTCTGCTCTTTGCCTATAGTAGGTTACAGGTTAAAGGACCCATGAAACGAATTTTGGGCTGGGGTAAATCAATTTATATTGGGATTTTACTAATAGCACATCGTTCAGTGGGCCAAAAGAACAAAGGTAGAAAGTCAGAAGGCTGACTTTCGCTACGAAAATTTGCAAAACATAGCGGACTACTTCGTACCTCCTTCCCTTCGTAAACTCTCCGCCTTTTCACTGTGATACATCCCCTGGCCCCGCAGCGCGTCACCGGGCTACTAGCCACCATAACCGGGCCCCTGCAGCGCGTCACCAGGGCCCAAGCGCACGTCACACAACACCGGACCTCACTTAATCCCTTTACCCCTAAGCTGACATTGCGGTGGAAGCTACGCGCTTACCGTACCAATCAGCCGTCTTCCTTTCATCACCTGACCTCATTCTCTGCGGGTCGCGGTATGCGCGAGAGAGCATGATCACGTGGAAAACGTGTGGCTGGCCCAACGAGCACGTAGCTTCCACAGCACTGTCAGCTTCGGGGTGAACAGGGTGGGGAAAGCAACTAGTCGGAATTTTGAGCGACGGGCTAATCTTTTAGGGGGACAATGGCTCTGTCCGCAGTGGCGGATCCAGGGGGGGGGGGCGGTGGGGGCGATCGCCCCCCCCCCCCCAAACGCCTCGCCAGGCGACCTCCCCCCCCCCCGGGGTTCTTCGTCAGCTCGAAGAAAAAACGTAAGCAATCGACGCGACTGACAAAAGATTAAAACAGCGGTGGGTGAACGCGCCTGCTGGGCGCTTCCAAAGTAAGGTTTATCTCCGTCAAGGTCACGGTACGTCTTCCCGACAGGGACGGCGCCAGGAGTTTCGAAGTGGAGAGACAGTGGGGAGGCGCACCAAATATCAGGGTCCTCGACTGCAGGCACGCTTCCAAACAAGGCCAGCACGTCGAGCACGGAGGGAAAATACCCTCAACATATCTAGTCCCCTTTCTCTCTCTCTCTCTGTCTTCCTCTCTTTGGAGGTTGTCTGCAAAATATTTGTGCCCTGAAAGCTCCCAAACGCAGACGCCAAGCAGCCTTCCTCAAGGGTACGATCCTATACACAGCGTATTATCCTTCCTCTCTAGTGGCCGCCTTTTCATTACTTTCCGTTTGATGGTTTGTTCGTTTTTCTGGGCTTGTCTTTTGGTATGTCTTTTTTGGCTTGCTTTGAGATGCTGTTGCTCACGGGCTCACTAAAGGTATCTTATTGGCACGGTGTGCTCATTGCCAAGGGAAATGCGGAGGGGACGTACCAGGAGGAGACGTTCCAGGGGGGGGGGGGGGGGGATGTAGCTTGTACAACCAGGTGACCAATTGCTTTTCTTCTAAACTGAGAGAGGAAGCAAATGCTCTGGGTACGGCGTAGTCTGGGTTAGGGAGCCTTGATAAGCGCACATGAAGGCACCCTAGTCTGGGTGGGAGCTTCTCCTGAAGACGCTCCGGACTTCCCCACGACCTTGGCCTAAACTTAAGCCCGCTTTCGTCCTCGCCTCCATCCCTCAGTGAGGATCAGCGCCGCAGCGCGGAATACAGAAAGAAGCCGACGAGCGCCAGAAGGGGGAGATCTTTCCTCTAATGGGCTTCATACTGCCTGCGGTACGACTTCTCGTGGCGGGAAGCTAATAAAAGAAAGATAAACGGTACGACCACTCAAAAGGCTGGAGGCTGCTTACACGGGGTCCTCAAGCCGACGCCGTTGGCATTTATTTGTATACAATGCCGTTTCAACTTTGGGTGGTGGGACATATTTTAGGAAAGGCGCCCGCTACTCCTTGTCTCCCATTGGCGCCGTCTTTACTTTTCGAGCTAAACGCGGCTTCTGTAGATTGACGGCAGAGCTTTCGCACGGCTTTGCAGGAGCGAATATGTGTGTGTCGAACGGAACAGAGGCGGGGCTTGCTGGTTTGCAACTGCGGCTCCGAATTCCCTACCTAGGGACTTTGGGAAAACGAGCCCTTTCAAAGATGCGACTGTACATAAATTAAAAAGACAGTGCCTGTGCCCGTTCGAGTGAACACCGACTCCCAAACATCCATGCTGCAGTTGTGATCGGCCTTTAGCCCAGTTGAGATTCGCCGACCGGACAACCGCTCTGCCCCATCATATCTGTGCACCTGTCCTCTCGACCCTGACGAATGAGCTAACTACCCAGAAACAAGTAAGTGTTCCTTTCATACAGAAAATATCCAGACGAAGTGCAATTGAATATAATTTGGAAGGATCCATTGCTGGTTTAAGGTATTGTATAAGTTTAAAAGTTATAGTTGCCGAACTGCAACATGCTTTCCAAAATATTCAACAATTATTCGCTTTCGTTCTCTCGAGTTGCATCCAGAACACGTCAAAACACGAGTTTGGGTAGGCAATGCCGCATGTGCTGCGCTCTGGACATTCCAGCCGAGTTTTAGATTAAAACGTTTTTCGCATTGCCATTAGCTGCATGAGCTTCCTCCGTATAGTTGACAAAGGTTGGCTCTCCGTACATGCTCTTTGGGTGTAACGAGAATATATAAATATTCAAGCAAAAGGAGCCCAAAAGTTGTAGCCCCGCCGGGGATATCCGAGCCATCAAGTTACACTGTCTGCAATTGTCACAGCCGCTATAGCACCAAACATTCATCCCCAGTAGTTAAACTTCTTTTTCTATTTCTATCGCGCTGCCACGCGAATGGAGTAATCCCGTTTCCTGTGAACAACAAAATTCTTTGCGTTATGGTGTTCAGAAAGGATAGTGCCACCACAATTTTCTAGGTACCTTTAGCGTGGTCACCCGAAGGGTTTTAATTCAAAGAGTTCATCCCCGACAGGTAAACCGATACAAAAGCTTTCAAGATCTATATTATGTTATCAGTGTTTAGTAAAAACGATAACTCCACAAAAAATATACAATCTCCCCCCCCCCCCCCCACCCCGCCGTTTTACACCGAATAACCGCCCCCCCCCCTAAATGGAGGTCTGGATCCGCCCCTGTCTGTCCGGCTACACAAGCGAGATTCCGAGCAAGAGGGGACTCTTTCCTTTCCGACTTCTTGAACTGTTTGGTACAATGCGCGATTTATGAGTTGAGGAGGAAAGCTAAACAGAAAAAACTTGAAAAAGCGTTTCATGACTCCTTTAAGAAGGTAGCGGCAAATGCCCCTCAAAGGGAATCATATATCCCTCCGCCACCTCCGCATCCAATAGCGTCCCATCGTTTCTGTGACGTCGCGGCCAACGCGCGAGGAGAGTCTTGCCTTTTTGTGCATATTTGTTTTAGAGCGCAGCTCTTAGGGGCCCGTTCCCGGCTTGAGCGGCGTCGCCGTCGGCGTCGGCGTAACCAAGGTCATCCCAAGGTCACTTGACCCCCAAGGTCACCTCAAGGTCACGTGACCCCTCCCCAAGGGTCATCGGGGGTCACGTGACTCCCCAAGGTCACCCCAAGGTCACGTGACCTCCCAAGGTCACGTGACACCCAAAGTCACGTGGCTCCCTAAGTCACGTGACCCCCGGGGTCACGT